CACACACACACACATATATTTATATAAATACAATTTCAGAATCAAACAAGTATGAGAGCACTCTCATAATAACGTAACACTATCAGAGACTGGATATATCCCCCCCCTGCACCCCCCCTCTCTCTGGTCGCTGAAATGGGGAATTTAAATTACGGGCCAAAAGTTTTATTTACAAGTAAGCAGAGGACACCAAACCAACTGAGACCTGTCTGTCCGCCGCATCTATGCACTGTACCACACACACACCTACACACTGTACCACACACACCTACACACTGTACCACACACACACCTACACACTGTACACACACACACACCTACCACACGCACACACTGTACCACACACCTACACACTGTACCACACACACACCTACACACTGTACCACACACACCTACACACTGTCACACACACCTACACACTGTACCACACACACACCTACACACTGTACCACACACACCTACACACTGTACTACACACACCTACACACTGTACCACACACACCTACACACTGTACCACACACACACCTACACACTGTACTACACACACCTACACACTGTACCACACACACACCTACACACACGCACACACTGTACCACACACACCTACACACTGTACCACACACCACCTACACACTGTACCACACACACCTACACACTGTACCACACACACCTACACACTGTACCACACACACACCTACACTGTACCACACACACCTACACACTGTACCACACACACCTACACTGTACCACACACACCTACACACTGTACCACACACACACCTACACACTGTACCACACACACACCTACACACTGTACCACACACACCTACACACTGTACCACACACACCTACACACTGTACCACACACACACCTACACACTGTACCACACACACACCTACACACTGTACCACACACACACCTACACACTGTACCACACACACACCTACACCACACGCACACACTGTACCACACACCTACACACTGTACCACCACACACACCTACACACTGTACCACACACACCTACACACTGTACCACACACCTACACACTGTACCACACACACACCTACACACTGTACCACACACCTACACACTGTACCACACACACACCTACACACTGTACCACACACACACCTACACACTGTACCACACACACCTACACACTGTACCACACACACACCTACACACTGTACCACACACACCTACACACTGTACCACACACACCTACACACTGTACCACACACACACCTACACACTGTACCACACGCACACCTACACACTGTACCACACGCACACCTACACACTGTACCACACACCTACACACTGTACAACACGCACCTACACACTGTACCACACACACCTACACACTGTACCACACACACCTACACACTGTACCACACACACCTACACACTGCACCACACACACCTACACACTGTACCACACACCACACGCACCTACACACTGTACCACACACACCTACACACTGTACCACACGCACACCTACACACTGTACCACACACACCTACACACTGTACCACACACACACCTACACACCTGTACCACACACACCTACACACTGTACCACACACACACCTACACACTGTACCACACGCACACCTACACCACACACACCTACACACTGTACCACACACACCTACACACTGTACCACACGCACACCTACACACTGTACCACACGCACACCTACACTGTACCACACACACCTACACACTGTACCACACGCACCTACACACTGTACCACACGCACACCTACACACTGTACCACACACACCTACACACTGTACCACACGCACCTACACACTGTACCACACACACCTACACACTGTACCACACACACACCTACACACTGTACCACACACACCTACACACTGTACCACACGCACCTACACACTGTACCACACGCACACCTACACACTGTACCACACGCACACCTACACACTGTACCACACACACACCCACCTACACACTGTACCACACACACACCTACACACTGTACCACACACACACCTACACACTGTACCACACACACCTACACACTGTACCACACACACACCCTACACACTGTACCACACACACCTACACACTGTACCACACACACACCTACACACTGTACCACACACACCTACACACTGTACCACACACACACCTACACACTGTACCACACACACACCTACACACTGTACCACACACACCTACACACTGTACCACACACACACCTACACACTGTACCACACACACCTACACACTGTACCACCCACACACACCTACACACTGTACCACACACACACACCTACACACTGTACCACACACACACCTACACACTGTACACCCACACACCTACACACTGTACCACCACACACCTACACACTGTACCACACACACCTACACACTGTACCACCCACACACACCTACACACTGTACCACACACACACCTACACACTGTACCACACACACACACACACTGTACCACACACACACCTACACACTGTACCACACACACCTACACACTGTACCACACACACCTACACACTGTACCACACACACACCTACACACTGTACCACCACACACACACACTGTACACACACACACCTACACACTGTACAACACACACACCTACACACTGTACCACACACACTACACACTGTACCACACACACCTACACACTGTAACCACAACACAACCTACAGCACCTACACCACAAACGCACACACTGTACAAACACCACCTACACACTGTACCACACACACACCTACACACACACACTGTCCACACACCCACACCTACACACTGTACCCACCCACACACCTACACACTGTACCACACACACCTACACACTGTACCACACACACACCACACACTGTACATAACCACACCTACACACTGGTAACCCACACCTACACACTGTACCCACACACACACCTACACACTGTACCACACACACCTACACACTGTACCACCAGCACCACCCTACACACTGTACCACACACACCTACACACTGTACCACACACACCTACACCACACACACACGCACCTACAGCTCCTAAAGCATATCATCAGGCTACAGCCGTTGTGTATTTTATTTTGTGAAGCACTAAATGGTTTTAGAAACATCTGGACTCTTTGTTTGTAGATATCTACTAAACTAAAGCAAAGAGAGTAGGCCTGTTACACTGAGTGATATATATTATACACACTGCTCTGCTTTCTGCACGGACCTCACAGCTGTTCTCTCTGGAAACATCGCGTCGCGATGAAAGCAGTTAATAAAATAATATCCAGGGGATGCATGCAGAGCTGTGATTGGCTGAGATCAGTCCGGCCGTGCGTCACGACTCTTTGAAACATCTCTGTTCCCGGAAATGCATCCACGAAGGAGCCGTGGAGGACCGTGGAGGACCCATCAGTGTCTCCTCGGTTAGAGCTCCTCCAGAGAGCCTCCTCTCTCCTCGGTTAGAGCTCCTCCAGAGAGCCTCCTCTCTCCTCGGTTAGAGCTCCTCCAGAGAGCCTCCTCTCTCCTCGGTTAGAGCTCCTCCAGAGAGCCTCCTCTCTCCTCGGTTAGAGCTCCTCCAGAGAGCCTCCTCTCTCCTCGGTTAGAGCTCCTCCAGAGAGCCTCCTCGACGCTCGATGCTCGGTCCTCGAAGTGCATTTAGAGAAATGAGATGTCCTTCAACATGGCGCGCTAAAATTCATTTCCGGGTCACTACCGGAGGACCGAGGAGTCGAGGAGTCGAGGGTTGCGGTCGAATAGTCCATTTCTCTCAGGACCCTTCCTAATGACCCGGAGGTCCCTCAGTGGCAGCCATGATAAGAGCTGGTTCTCTAGATGAAAGGAAAGGAGGTTTCAAACTTCCTTTATAACCTCCTTTAGCTTAGGAACCACTGGACCTCCCTAACCGAAAGGAGAGGAGAAAATGCTGCCCCACAATGCCTTGCGGCCGCAGCATTTGCCGTCACACAACAGTCGGCCGTTCACGGAAACAACCGATTATGAACGAGAAATGATATCATGAAAGTTACGGTGCTTATTAAGCATTTTAAAACGTATGTGGTAAGTTGCCAAAGTGCTTTGTTTTGAACGTTCATCAGTATTATAATCAAAAAGAGAAATATGAACGTTAGTTTTTACTGAAATGATCAAATAAAGTCAACATTTCAGTCTTTACTGAGCTGTGTGGGGTTTGTTCAACTTTGAAAAGATGTTTGAATGGTGATATACACAGTGATAGATGTTAAGGACTAACGTTTATAATAAATACATTTGTATTGATTTGAAGATCTTTTCATACAATCATACGTATTGGGATCATTTGTATTAATGTGGACCGGAGGGAGAGGGTGACTTAGCATAAGTTTCACTTTCCTTTTTTATTTCAATTCCAACTTTGGTCATGAAGAATATGTTTCTCTGTTGTCCCCGTTCATAAAGCATAACAGCATCAGAGCACGGTGCAGAGTCTCTAGATGAGTTTACAGTAGTCCCTCGTTCTTATTAAACATCCATGTTGTAGTCCGCTGTATAGAAAACTGTAGTTTCCATAGTTTCCCCACAGCAGCAGGACGCACATTCATGACGCTCTGCTGGCGCATCATAAACACGTCGGATAGTGAGAGTGCAGTCGATTCTCTAAAGTACCGCAGTCTCTTCTCCTAAGTCCTTTTGAATTCTCCTATCCACTATCCCTTAACCCCGTGACCTTTCACTCAGAGGTCAAGGGATAGACGATAGGGTTAGAACTTAGGAGCTGATTTTTGGACTATTCGACTGCAACCCTGGTGTCAGGAGCAGGACCAGCACTCACTGTTATTCAGAGGCTTTAAACACTCAGCGCCCCCTGCTGGTGAGGACCAGCACTCACTGTTATTCAGAGGCTTTAAACACTCAGCGCCCCCTGCTGGTGAGGACCAGCACTCACTGTTATTCAGAGACTTTAAACACTCAGCGCCCCCTGCTGGTGAGGACCAGCACTCACTGTTATTCAGAGGCTTTAAACACTCAGCGCCCCCTGCTGGTGAGGACCAGCACTCACTGTTATTCAGAGGCTTTAAACACTCAGCGCCCCCTGCTGGTGAGGACCAGCACTCACTGTTATTCAGAGGCTTTAAACACTCAGCGCCCCCTGCTGGTGAGGACCAGCACTCACTGTTATTCAGAGGCTTTAAACACTCAGCGCCCCCTGCTGGTGAGGACCAGCACTCACTGTTATTCAGAGGCTTTAAACACTCAGCGCCCCCCTGCTGGTGAGGACCAGCACTCACTGTTATTCAGAGACTTTAAACACTCAGCGCGCCCTGCTGGTGAGGACCAGCACTCACTGTTATTCAGAGGCTTTAAACACTCAGCGCCCCCTGCTGGTGAGGACCAGCACTCACTGTTATTCAGAGGCTTTAAACACTCAGCGCCCCCTGCTGGTGAGGACCAGCACTCACTGTTATTCAGAGACTTTAAATGTCTTCTCCAGGGTTGGACCAGCTGTTTCTGTTTCTCTGTAAACTATTTTCTTCTGATCTGCAGGTCAGCTGACCCTGCACTCGCTGCTCAGTCCGTCCATCAAGAGGAACGCCAAGGTGGACTGAAGCCCCTCTTTATTCTGTCTGTCCTCATGTTAATGTCTTGTGTCTTACCTGTGTGAGGTGTTGACCCTACCTGTCCTTATGACTTACCTGTATGAGGTGTTGACCCTACCTGTCCTTATGTCTTACCTGTATGAGGTGTTGACCCTACCTGTCCTTATGTTGTCCTGTATGAGGTGTTGACCCTACCTGTCCTCATGTTGTCTTACCTGTATGAGGTGTTGACCCTACCTGTCCTCATGTTGTCTTACCTGTATGAGGTGTTGACCCTACCTGTCCTCATGTTGTCTTACCTGTATGAGGTGTTGACCCTACCTGTCCTCATGTTGTCTTACCTGTATGAGGTGTTGACCCTACCTGTCCTCATGTTGTCTTACCTGTATGAGGTGTTGACCCGACCTGTCCTCATGTTGTCTTACCTGTATGAGGTGTTGACCCTACCTGTGTCTTCAGGAGCAGAAAGGCACTCTGGGTAAAAGGACGGGTCCGGATCTGCAGGTCGGTTTATTTCTGTCTTTATCAAAATAAAATAAATATGAAGTGAGAATCTAAACACTGACTTCCTGTTTGCAGTCATGTGACCTGAACGGCGATGAAGGCATCCAGGTGTGTGAGGAGGCGCAGGTGGGCGGGGCCAAAGTGCGTCTGCTGGCCAATCAGCTGCAGGCGAAACTTGATCAGCATTCTACTTCCTGCCGGAGTCCAGCTTCTTCTTCTGCTTCTTCTTCTGCTTCTTCTTCTGCTTCTCCTGCGGCGGCCTCACGTCTACAGGTGAGTCTTCATTCATATCTCACTTCCTGTTAACACTTTGATGTTACCTGTACTGACTGAACCTGAGGCTGTGGTCCTTCAGGAGGAGGAGGAGCCTGCAGGCGGTCCCCCTGATGCAGCTCCGCCTCAGGCCTCATGGAGACTGGTAACCAGTAGAGACCAGATCATAATGCTTCCTTTCTGTCTCTCCTGTCTGTCTCTCACCTGTCTGTCTCTCACCTGTCTGTCTCACCTGTCTGTCTCACCTGTCTGTCTCTCACCTGTCTGTCTCACCTGTCTGTCTCACCTGTCTGTCTCTCTCCTGTCTGTCTCACCTGTCTGTCTCACCTGTCTTTCTCTCTCCTGCCTGTCTCTCACCTGTCTCTCTCCTGCCTGTCTCTCTCCTGTCTGTCTCACCTGTCTGTCTCTCTCCTGCCTGTCTCTCACCTGTCTGTCTCTCACCTGTCTGTCTCTCTCCTGTCTGTCTCTCACCTGTCTGTCTCTCACCTGTCTGTCTCACCTGTCTCTCACCTGTCTTTCTCTCTCCTGCCTGTCTCTCACCTGTCTGTCTCTCACCTGTCTGTCCCTCACCTGTCTCTCTCTCACCTGTGTTTCTCTCACCTGTCTGTCTCTCTCCTGTCTGTCTCTCACCTGTCTGTCTCTCACCTGTCTGTCTCTCACCTGTCTGTCTCTCACCTGTCTGTCTCTCACCTGTCTGTCTCTCACCTGTCTCTCTGTCTGTCTCTCACCTGTCTGTCTCTCACCTGTCTGTCTCTCACCTGTCTGTCTCTACTGTCTCTCACCTGTCTGTCTCTCACCTGTCTGTCTCTCACCTGTCTCTCTGTCTGTCTCTCACCTGTCTGTCCCTCACCTGTCTGTCCCTCACCTGTCTGTCCCTCACCTGTGTCTCTGTCTCTCTCTCAGAGGAAGAGGACCCTTCAACAAGAACAGATGAGTTTTAGGTTCAGAGAGAAGATCAAGTCTCAGGAGCAGGTACACTGCTGTGCATTCTGGGTACTGTTGTTTACCTGTGTGTCTCTCACCTGTGTGTCTCTCACCTGTGTGTCTCTCACCTGTGTGTCCCTCACCTGTGTGTCTCTCACCTGTGTGTCTCTCACCTGTCTGTCTCTCACCTGTCTCTCACCTGTGTGTCCCTCACCTGTGTGTCTCTCACCTGTCTCTCTCTCACCTGTCTCTCACCTGTGTGTCCCTCACCTGTGTGTCTCTCACCTGTGTGTCTCTCACCTGTGTGTCTCTCACCTGTGTGTCTCTCACCTGTGTGTCCCTCACCTGTGTGTCTCTCACCTGTCTCTCTCTCACCTGTCTCTCACCTGTGTGTCCCTCACCTGTGTGTCTCTCACCTGTGTGTCTCTCACCTGTGTGTCTCTCACCTGTGTGTCCCTCACCTGTGTGTCTCTCACCTGTGTGTCTCTCACCTGTCTCTCACCTGTGTGTCTCTCACCTGTCTCTCACCTGTGTGTCTCTCACCTGTGTGTCTCTCACCTGTGTGTCTCTCACCTGTGTGTCTCTCACCTGTGTGTCTCTCACCTGTGTGTCTCTCACCTGTGTGTCCCTCACCTGTGTGTCTCTCACCTGTGTGTCTCTCACCTGTGTGTCTCTCACCTGTCCCTCACCTGTGTGTCCCTCACCTGTGTGTCCCTCACCTGTCTCAGGTGTGCTTCTTCTGTGAGGCCCGTGTTTACCTGATGCAGCTTCAAACGGCTGAAGGTGTGTTTTTCCACCGAAGCTGCTTCCTGTGCTCCAGCTGCTGCAGCGCCCTGAGGCCGGGGGGGGGGCACGGCTACGACCCGCAGCTGCGTGAGTCTGTTGTTGTTGTTGTTGTTGTTGTTGTTGTTGTTTAAATATCCATAGTATAAACATACGTGAGTTTATTATTATTGTTGTTGTTATTCATAGTTGAAGCCTCTTCTTCTGTGGTTTCGGGAGGTTAGGTTTAGTTGTTGTTGTTGTTGTTGTTGTTTTTGTTGTTTTTTACATATCCATAGTTTAAGCTCCTGTGTTTCTTCTTCTGTGGTTTCAGGGAGGTTTTACTGTCTGCACTGTGACCCCCGCCTGAGGACCCAACCCCCCCCCCACCGAGTGTCTATCGTAAGAGACTCTCGTCTAATAAAGTTTTATAAGATGACAGGTGTTCATGATGTGTGATCACAGGTGTGTTTGTTTTCTCCACAGGCGTCTCTGGGCCCCCCCCTCTCCGGGCGCCGGCGCTCCTCAGGTGAGCCCCCCCCCCCCCCCCCCTCTGTTTCTATGACAGACAGTCTCTGGTCGCCTCTGAGCTGCTCTTTATACGGCGGGCTTCAGTGTGTGTGTGTTTCTGTGTGTGTTTCTGTGTGTGTGTGCTTGTGTGTGTGCTTGTGTGTGTGTGTCGGCAGCTGTTTCTGTGAGGGAGGGGGGAGAGAGGAGCGAAGAGGAGGAGCCCCCCCATTGGTCCAGAGAGGAAGAGTCGCAGCTGAGGGAGGAAGAGGAGGAAGAGTCGCTGCATCATTTCAATTTCAGCCTGAAAAACGAGGAGGACAAAACCAGGTGGGTATGGGAGGTGATTAATGCCTGGAGAGTATGGAAGGTGATTGATGCCTGGAGAGTATGGAAGGTGATTGATGCCTGGAGAGTATGGAAGGTGATTGATGCCTGGAGAGTATGGAAGGTGATTGATGCCTGGAGAGTATGGAAGGTGATTGATGCCTGGAGAGTATGGAAGGTGATTGATGCCTGGAGAGTATGGAAGGTGATTGATGCCTGGAGAGTATGGAAGGTGATTGATGCCTGGAGAGTATGGGAGGTGATTGATGCCTGGAGAGTATGGAAGGTGATTGATGCCTGGAGAGTATGGAAGGTGATTGATGCCTGGAGAAAATAATAAACCCCAACTGCAAAATTGTGAACATTGTTTTCAGTTCAGAGTCGGGGATGGAGGAGGGGAGCAGTGGGACTTCAGAAGAGAACACTTCATGGAGGGAAACTGTGAAGAAACACCTGAGAGAGGAAGAGGAGGAGGAGGAGGAGGAGGAGGAGGAGGAGGAGGAGGAGGAAGGCAGTGAACAGGAGTCGAGTGACGGTGAGTGCTTGCATATAGAATTGTTGTTAAATCAATACTTGATGTAATTGTTATTCATGTCTTCAGCAGCAGGAAGTGGAACGCCTCAGTCTGAGACCTCGCCCCCAAGACATGGCTCCGCCCCTGATGAGGAACTGTCCCCGGCCACACATGCCGTTGTCACGGAAACCGCTCCCAGGGGGCGGGGCTCGTTTGACGCCATCACCCCAGATCTGCCGCCATATAAGGGCGTGGGGTCAGAGACAGAGGGGGCGGAGTCTGAGGAGAGGAGGACAGTTGTTCCTGCTGACAGGAAGCAGAAGAAGACTTCAGCCAATCAGAAGACAGCTACAGGCGATGATGTCATTGATAAACACCTGTCCAAACTGACCTCCGACCTCCAGAGGGTCTCAGTGAAGGAGAACCAGGAGAACCAGGAGAACCGGGAGAACCGGGAGAATCCGCCGTACGTTCCTCACGCTCTGGCCTTCAAACGAGCATACGCCATTAAGGTACAGACCCCCCCTTACTCTGTAACATGGTATTCCCCCCCTTCTTCTCTAACATGGTATACCCCCCCCCCTTACTCTGTAACATGGTGTTCCCCCCCTTACTCTGTAACATGGTATACCCCCCCCCTTACTCTGTAACATGGTGTTCCCCCCCCTTACTCTGTAACATGGTATTCCCCCCCCCTTACTCTGTAACATGGTATGCCCCCCCCCTTACTCTGTAACATGGTATGCCCCCCCCCTTACTCTGTAACATGGTATGCCCCCCCCTTACTCTGTAACATGGTATTCCCCCCCCCTTACTCTGTAACATGGTATTCCCCCCCCCTTACTCTGTACCATGGTATTCCCCCCCCCCCTTACTCTGTAACATGGTATTCCCCCCCCCCTTACTCTGTAACATGGTGTTCCCCCCCCCTTACTCTGTAACATGGTATTCCCCCCCCCCCTTACTCTGTAACATGGTATTCCCCCCCCCTTACTCTGTAACATGGTATTCCCCCCCCCCTTACTCTGTAACATGGTATTCCCCCCCCCCTTACTCTGTAACATGGTGTCCCCCCCCCTTACTCTGTAACATGGTATTCCCCCCCCCTTACTCTGTAACATGGTATTCCCCCCCCCTTACTCTGTAACATGGTATTCCCCCCCCTTTACTCTGTAACATGGTATTCCCCCCCCCTTACTCTGTAACATGGTATTCCCCCCCCCTTACTCTGTAACATGGTATTCCCCCCCCCCTTACTCTGTAACATGGTATTCCCCCCCCCTTACTCTGTAACATGGTATCCCCCCCCCTTACTCTGTAACATGGTATGCCCCCCCCTTACTCTGTAACATGGTATGCCCCCCCCTTACTCTGTAACATGGTATCCCCCCCCCTTACTCTGTAACATGGTATGCCCCCCCCTTACTCTGTAACATGGTATCCCCCCCCCTTACTCTGTAACATGGTATGCCCCCCCCTTACTCTGTAACATGGTATCCCCCCCCCTTACTCTGTAACATGGTATCCCCCCCCCTTACTCTGTAACATGTATGACCAACACAGTCTCACTCCCTGATAGTCCAATAGCGACGCTTGGTCAGGGTCCTATGGCGTGCAGTTGTGACGCTCCTTCAGACGCAAAGAGCCTTCAACTGATTGCAATGTATTCCCATCGGCGGCGGTATTTGACGCTCAGGGAAGCACGGCATCGGTCCATGTCGGAGGCAGTTAAAGGCAATGTGAGCGTCCATTCCCATTGGATAACGGAGGATTTTACACCCGGAAGTAAGTATTCTCCTTACTGTGGATTGATCTGACAGAGATATCTGCACTACTCATCAACTCAACAGATTATCTTGTTAATTACACAACATTGATTGGTTTAAATTGTGTGCAATGCTTTTGTGTTTTTCCCCTTCGATTCGGAGAAACAAATATTTTTTCAGAGTTTAGGATGGCCGAAGACACTACACTACCCAGAATCCTCAGCTATCGTTTGGGACTACACCATGTGCTCTGTTTGACAAACCCCGTGATTAGTCTTCAAGCTCTGTGATTGGATGTTGGAGTGGCAGTGCGCGAAGTTTACAAGGAGCGTCAAACAGCACTTTGAAATGGAATGAAACCCATCGACGGCACACTATCCAAATCAAGACTCCAACGTGTATTTTTACTACATTTATTTTAGTTACTTTACAGATTTGGATTAATAATGTGAAATATAAACAACCCTTAAATCAGACTTTAGTTACACCTGAGTAAAATTCAGTGAAGGTGATTGTCAAGTGCCAACAATCAGGAGAGATATTTGGTAGTGGGTGCTTGAGAAGACTAAACATTTATCTGCAGATCTCTATAAAGCATATTCATTACTCGTTATTCTCTAATCGTTCATTAAAAACTGTATAATGGCTATTTTGCACATCCCTTTCAAGATTTCAAGATGTTCAAAGGTTTATTGAAATATCATATACACAACTACGGTGTAGTTATGCAATGATGACACACTTGGGTCATAGGTTCCTCAACAAGACATCTATCGATATCTGTGTACCTCCACCATTAAACTGTCATATTCTGCACATTTCTTATTCTATCTACATACATCTTATAAGAGTATAATGAATATGTATGATATCGGTTAAAATAAGTGCTTCAACATAGTTAACATTGCAGGAAAGTTGATTGTCAAGTCCCAAAACAAACCATGCAATATATTAAACGTTAAGTACTTTGTCAGGCTTAATATAGATACCCCCAAAGCTTTTTGCTTACATGTATTTAAAAGAAGACCTTAACCTAAAGTATTATTTAATGTTTAAATAAAGCCTTATTAGTTTGTCTGTTTTGCACATCCTCCTATTAATATCTTTGTACATCCGGCACTAAACGGTTTTATTCTAGATACCATTTACAGTATCTTCTTGATATTTTGTATTCTATATTTATATCATTGACCTTCTACTTATACACAATTTTGTATGTACTCTTAATATTTAAATGTTTTCATCAAATACAACACATTCAAAAGTGCTTTACAAAAATGAAAGACATTAAAACAAAGGCATTTTAAACAGTCATTAAAAAGCAACACAATCTTACCTGCATTGCATTACTCTAAAGGTGTAATACCGTGCTTTAACCAGTAGGAGGTGCGGGTTAAAAAGCTGTCAAGTTTACAGTGTTAACAAAATAAAATATACTGCTGTTTCTGGTTTAGTTTACGACGGATATATTCTGTTATTGTTTTGATATTTGTAACACAAAAGCGATGTAAAAAACCCACAGCAACACAGAAAAGATGGTCTTAACATGACCCAGCGGTCTAGTAGTTAATAAAAAACAATAATATCAAAACAAATTATTACTACTAACTTTATTGTGAAATTAAAAAGAACGGTAAAAGAATAGTTTCCGGTCTATTCTGAGGCCCGATCTCTGTAGATAAATAAAGAACTACGGCAGATGTGTAATGTTTAATGCAGCCAAACCATTTATTACAATGCATTCATGTGATGACTTTCAAAGAGTAAAGCAAGCACTGCTGAATAAAGTATGATTTGATCTTTTACCAAACGTTTTCTTTCATATGGAATGCAGTTGGAGGTCAACCAATCACAGAGCTTGAGAACTAATCACGGGGTTTGTCGAGCAAAGCGGTACGATAGCTGAGGATTCTGGGTAGTGTAGTGTCTTCGGCCATCCTAAACTCTGAAAAAATATTTGTTTCTCCGAATCGAAGGGAAAAAACACAAAAGCATTGCACACAATTTAAACCAATCAATGTTGTGTAATTAACAAGATCATCTGTTGAGTTGATGAGTAGTGCAGATATCTCTGTCAGATCAATCGACAGTAAGGAGAATACTTACTTCCGGGTGTAAAATCCTCCGTTATCCAATGGGAATGGACGCTCACATTGCCTTTAACAGCCGCCGACATGGACCGATGCCGTGCTTCCATGAGCGTCAAATACCGCCGCCGATGGGAATACATTGCAATCAGTTGAAGGCTCTTTGCGTCCGTTTATGAAGCTGAAGGAGCCTCGGAGCCAAAGGACCCTGACCAAGCGTCGCTATTGGACTATCAGGGAGTGAGACTGTGTTGGTACGAACCCCCCCCAGTAAATTGGTCTCTCCTGTTTCAGAGGCGCTCCCTGAGGACCCCCGCCCCTCAAAGACGGACCACCTCATGTCCCCCTCTGGCGTCAGGGGGGCTGTTTCTCCCCCAGGAGCTGTCGATCCTCAGCCTGAAGGAGGCGCTGTTCCTGAGGGGGGGGGAGGAGGAGAAGGGGGTCAGGAGGCGGGTCCCGGGGGAGCGGAGGCGGAGACGGGAAGAGCTGCAGAGGCTGCATCGAGCTCAGGTGAGGGGGGGGGGGTGCGCTCAGGTGAGGGGGGGTCGCTCACGTGAGGGGGGGGGTCGCTCACGTGAGGGGGGGGGATATTTAATTTAAGGTTTTTAGACGTTTCAAAAAAATTTCTGGACTTTATTTTGTATTTTCTTCAGATGATCCAGAGGCAGCTGCAGCAGGCGGAGGAGCAACAGAAACAGCTGGAGGAGAGGGGGGTGGGGCTGGAGAGGGTCCTGAGGGGGGAAGCAGGTACTGTTTACTTCCTGATGTCCAACAATATATAAAATACACGTCTGCACGATCTTCTGTTCTATGGAGGGTTATTAACGCTCAATATACCGAGGACGCCGTACGGAAGGTTATTATGTAAGGACTGTGGATTTGATGTGTTCCAGAGTTTTGGGGCGACTCCCCCGACAGCGAGGATGTGGAGCTTCACCTGGAAGGTACCGGACCCCAGATAAGACCACCAGTACACCTGCAGCATTAGAGCATTAACTGATACACTCTCTGCAGGTCTGGGGAAACTGGCCCGCCCGGCGCTGATGCAGCAGTGGTTCCTGTTGGTCCAGCAGAAGAACTGCCTGCTCCGATACGAGTCTGAACTCATGATCTCGTGAGTTCCTGACCTTCAAGTCCTGCAGCAGAACCAGGACTGTGTGGTTGCCATTCAGCAGGGCCTGGTTCCTCTGGATCCTCAGGTGCAAGTTCAGGTTCCTCTGGATCCTCAGGTGCAAGTTCAGGTTCCTCTGGATCCTCAGGTCCAGGTCCTGGTTCCTCTGGATCCTCAGGTCCAGGTCCTGATTCCTCTGGATCCTCAGGTCCAGGACCTGGTTCCTCTGGATCCTCAGGTTCAGGTTCTTGTTCCTCTGGATCCTCAGGTGCAAGTTCAGGTTCCTCTGGATCCTCAGGTCCAGGACCTGGTTCCTCTGGATCCTCAGGTTCAGGTTCTTGTTCCTCTGGATCTTCAGGTGCAGGTTCTGGTGGTTCCTCTGGATCCTCAGGTCCAGGACCTGGTTCCTCTGGATCCTCAGGTGCAGGTTCTGGTGGTTCCTCTGGATCCTCAGGTGCAGGTTCTGGTGGTTCCTCTGGATCCTCAGGTGCAGGTTCTGGTGGGTCCTTGTCTCAGGTGTGTTCCTGTGTTTCAGGGCCCGGGAGGTGGAGTTGGAGGACCGGCAGAGTCGCCTGCAGCAGGAGCTCCGAGACCAGATGGCCGTGGAAGGTGAAACCACTTCCTGTTCTTTTTAGACAATAAAACATTGAATATGACCAGGTCCTCATAATCTTATTCTGAAGGGCTAACCTTTATTTAACCTTCGTGTTTATGCAGACCACCTGAAGCCGGAGGTCCAGCTGGTGGAGGAGGTTCTGGTCCTGCAGGAGCTGCTGGAGGTGGTCCAGCAGAGAGACTCTCTGGTGGCTCAGCTGGAGGAGCATCGGCTGCAGGGCAGGCAGGAGGACCAGGACCTGGAGGGGGTCCTGAGCCAGGGACTCGGTCTCACCTGGCCTTGAACCAGAGGACCTGGAGGGGGTCCTGAGTAGTGTTAATTTCGTTGACTAAAACTATGACGAAATATGTTCGTCAACGACCTTTTTTTCCATGACTAAAACGAGACGATGACGAGACGGCACCGACGGCAGTAAACAATAACTGTAACGAAATCATCATGCAATATCGTTGACGAAAAGTGACGAGACGAATGTAGTTTACTAAATAAAAACTATGCCAAAATCTCTCTTTACTTTCGTTGACGAAAAATGAGGAGACGAAATATTATCAAAGATAACGTAACATCTGATAGTCAGCTTTTCTCCCAGCAGTTCCATTTCCGGTGCTGCGGCTGGGCAGCAGCTGTGTGTCTGTGCTGCGGCTGGGCAGCAGCTGTGTGTCTGTGCTGCGGCTGGGCAGCAGCTGTGTGTCTGTGCTGCGGCTGGGCAGCAGCTGTGTGTCTGTGCTGCGGCTGGGCAGCAGCTGTGAGTCTGTGCTGCGCGCGGCAGCACATTTGAATTACACCGGGCAGCGGCACACTGTGAACTGTCAGGAAGACTCGGGTCTAACTCATGGTCTAACTCATGGTCTAACTCAGGGTCTAACTCAGGGTCTAACTCAGGGTCTAACTCAGGGTCTAACTCAGGGTCTAACTCAGGGTCTAACTCATGGTCTAACTCATGGTCTAACTCAGGGTCTAACTCAGGGTCTAACTCATGGTCTAACTCAGGGTCTAACTCATGGTCTAACTCAGGGTCTAACTCATGGTCTAACTCATGGTCTAACTCAGGGTCTAACTCAGGGTCTAACTCATGGTCTAACTCAGGGTCTAACTCATGGTCTAACTCATGGTCTAACTCATGGTCTAACTCATGGTCTAACTCAGGGTCTAACTCAGGGTCTAACTAACAGTTATTTAACAGAAAATAAAATAGCAACAACAGGGATTGGGAGCAGTGGTCGCGTTAACCGAATACCCCCCGTCCCCCGTCAGCGCGAGTGAGTGACGAGTTGTGTACAGACTCGACGGGTAATAATGGATTATGACGGAAATGTTACGATCCTGTCCGTCAAAATGACTGACCACGAAAAAGTCTAACGCCACCACTGCTTGGGAGAAAGAAACGATGTGATATTTGGGCCCATTTTCGCTGCAATGAGGCGGAGAACAAAAGCGAATGCATTGTTTTATCAGAAGGGAAGCAATGTGGCCATAAAGGCCCTGACACACCAGGCCGTATTCGGCCGTCTTGCGTTGTCTGACGACAACGCGTTCCTTGTCGCCCAAAGTCAATTTGGTGTGTCCCGAACCCTCGGCCGTGACACGCCTTATTTGGCCTTTCACGGTCGACACCCGGCCGATTCAACATGTTGAATCGGCCGGGTGTCGGACACAAGCTATCGGGCCAAGAAAGCACTCTGATCAGCTGTTCAGCTAGCAAATGAGAAGCGAAACGGAAGTGAGGGACGTAAACAAAGGATTGAAGAAGGCACAGGACAGCAGCTAAACCCCAGCAGGTGATACTTAAAGACATCAAACATAGCCCTTAAATGTCCTCTCTTACCTCCCACACATAGCAGGGACATCTCTGATATCGGCGGGAGCGTCCCCGGCTGTCCTCTGCTGAGAGCTCCGTGATTTGTTTGGTCAAGTTGCAGGATTAGTCTCAAGTACCTCAACATTGTCCTTAAGTCCAGTGTCTAAGTAAATGAGATCTACTGCTGTTCATTTACCTATTGTGAGTCGCCTCGGATAAAAGCATCACATGGAAATGTACATTTGGCCATTATGACATGACATACATTACTACATTGCTGACTCAATAAACGACACACCCTCCAGAACACTGCGATCATCAGACGCAGGTCTATTAACTGTGATGTGATAGTATGCACTTTATGTGCTCATTTCATCATTCATGTATTTTATATTCTAAAACATGTTTTCGATGGACGAGAGTGAAAATGGAACGCACACGCTATTTGTTTGTTTATATCAGTCTGTTCTTCTTCTCTGTCTTCCGGTTGTTGCCTATTTTGAATGACGAATACACACTACCGCCGCCTGCTGGTAAGGACAGTTATTGCCACTCACGCATGCGCAGTTCGTACGTGCTCGGCTGAAGTCTTTGGTTGCGTTCGAATACTCCAAAAAAACAGCTCCTAAGTTCTAACCCTATCGTCTATTCCTTGACCTCTGAGTGAAAGGTCACGGGGTTAAGGGATAGTGGATAGGAGAATTCAAAAGGACTTAGGAGAAGAGACTGCGGTACTTTAGAGAATCGACTGCACTCTCACTATCCGACGTGTTTATGATGCGCCAGCGGAGGTCATGAATGTGCGCCTGCTGCGGTGGGGAAACTATGGAAACTACAGTTTCTATACAGCGGACTACAACATGGATGTTTAATAAGAACGAGGGACTACTGTAAACTCATCTAGAGACTCTGCACCGTGCTCTGATGCTGTTATGCTTTATGAACGGGGACAACAGAGAAACATATTCTTCATGACCAAAGTTGGAATTGAAATAAAAAAGGAAAGTGAAACTTATGCTCGTCACCCTCTCCCTCCGGTCCACATTAATACAAATGATCCCAATACGTATGATTGTATGAAAAGATCTTCAAATCAATACAAATATATTTATTATAAACGTTAGTCCTTAACATCTATCACTGTGTATATCACCATTCAAACATCTTTTCAAAGTTGAACAAACCCCACACAGCTCAGTAAAGACTGTGAAATGTTGACTTTATTTGATCATTTCAGTCAAAACTAACGTTCATATTTCTCTTTTTGATTATAATACTGATGAACGTTCAAAACAAAGCACTTTGGCAACTTACCACATACGTTTTAAAATGCTTAATAAGCACCGTAACTTTCATGATATCATTTCTCGTTCATAATCGGTTGTTTCCGTGAACGGCCGACTGTTGTGTGACGGCAAATGCCGCGGCCGCAAGGCATTGTGGGGCAGCATTTTCTCCTCTCCTTTCGGTTAGGGAGGTCCAGTGGTTCCTAGGCTAAAGGAGGTTATAAAGGAAGTTTGAAACCTCCTTTCCTTTTAATTTAGAGAATTCGAACGGCACTTATCATGGCTGCCACTGAGGGACTTCCGGGTCATTTCACTCCGTTAGGAAGGTTCCTAAGCTAAATGGACTATTCGAATGCAACCTTTGTGTTCCAGTGCGACACACGGCCAAGACGCAGGAGAACTCGCTGATGGAACAGTCGGTGTCGGTGAGTTCTCTGGTGACGGCCTGGTGTGTCAGGGCCTTATGACACAGCTGGTAACAACACCACACACCTGAGCAGATACTCTGCAAAGCTGCTCTCTTAATCATTCAACCTGTATTTTTCATCAAATAAGGACAAGATATCATCTTATTGTGAAATAAGTTTGACTAAAATGACAGGTTTTGGCTAGACTAGTTTGACTGAAATGTTCTATATAATCTGATGACTAAAAAAGACTCAACAGTTTTCATTGACAAAAAGTAGACTAAAATAGTTAGTTTTCTTTGACTAAAATAAGACTAAAATGCTCAGACTTTTAGTCGACTAAAACTTGACTAAATAAAAACAGGATGAAGGTGACTAAATATGACTAAAACTAAAAAGAAAATTTAACACAGGACTAAGACTAAATAAAAAAAATGGCTGATGAAATTAACACTAGTCCTGAGCCAGGGACTCGGTCTCACCTGGCCCTGAACCAAAGGACCAGGAGGGGGTCCTGAGCCAGGGACTCAGTCTCACCTGGCCCTGAACCAGAGGACCAGGACCTGGTTCACCTTTGAATGTTTCTGAGATCCATGAGGAACAGAAAGTCCAGTTCTTCAGTTATTTTTGAGAGTTTTGGACCGGGTCTGGCATGGACTCATGGAGCCGGGACGCCCTACAAAAGGAAATACTTAGTATTAAATGTATTTATTTGTATTGTGCCATCAGCTGTGGGCCTTACCTGCTCTCATCCTGCCATCTGTTTATCATTAATAAATCAAATGTTATATTTCCTGGTTTACATTTTTTTACCTTTAAAGTAGAGACACTACGTCCTGATATACACCTGAACATCAGCAGGAGAGGACTCTTTAAAGTAGAGACACTACATACTGATATACACCTGAACATCAGCAGGAGAGGACTCTTTAAAGTAGAGACACTACATACTGATATACACCTGAACATCAGCAGGAGAGCACTCTTTAAAGTAGAGACACTACACACTGATATACACCTGAACATCAGCAGGAGAGGACTCTTTAAAGTAGAGACACTACATACTGATATACACCTGAACATCAGCAGGAGAGGACTCTTTAAAGTAGAGACACTACACACTGATATACACCTGAACATCAGCAGGAGAGGACTCTTTAAAGTAGAGACACTACATACTGATATACACCTGAACATCAGCAGGAGAGGACTCTTTAAAGTAGAGACACTACATACTGACATACACCTGAACATCAGCAGGAGAGGACTCTTTAAAGTAGAGACACTACATACTGACATACACCTGAACATCAGCAGGAGAGGACTCTTTAAAGTAGAGACACTACATACTGATATACACCTGAACATCAGCAGGAGAGAACTCTTTAAAGTAGAGACACTACATACTGATATACACCTGAACATCAGCAGGAGAGGACTCTTTAAAGTAGAGACACTACATACTGATATACACCTGAACATCAGCAGGAGAGGACTCTTTAAAGTAGAGACACTACATACTGATATACACCTGAACATCAGCAGGAGAGGACTCTTTAAAGTAGAGACACTACATACTGATATACACCTGAACATCAGCAGGAGAGGACTCTTTAAAGTAGAGACACTACATACTGATATACACCTGAACATCAGCAGGAGAGGACTCTTTAAAGTCCTTGTTAATATTTTAAACAGATTACAAAGAGAGAGAGACGGTTCAGTGAAGACATTTTTATTTCTTCTTCTGTTTTTTAAACAGGAAACATCAGGAGTGTCGGTAAAACCATCTGCAATAACCGCAGTTTCTTAACGTCTCCTTTCTTAACGTCTGGTTTCTTAACGTCTGGTTTCATAACTGTGAACTTGAAGCTCTGAAATGTCCTGATTCCTGCAATACTCTCTTTATTATTTGGAAGATAAACGTGTGACTTTAAGTCTCTATTTCATTTCGTTATCGGAGCTACTGATATTTATCCCGACACCCCTAAAGATTTGATGATAAAAAAGAGAAAAGCATCAAATAATTTCTGATGAAAGCATTTAAAGACAATTCTGCAGGAAAACGATTAGAAGTCTTGAAATATCTGCAATATCTGAAAGCTAGCAGCAGCTTGACAAGCTGCTGCTAGCTTGACAAGCTGCTGCTAGCTTGTCAAGCTGCTGCTAGCTTGACAAGCTGCTGCTAGCTTGACAAGCTGCTGCTAGCTTGTCAAGCTGCTGCTAGCTTTACAAGCTGCTGCTAGCTTGGATCTTCAGGTCTTTGGCCACGAGTCCGGCGGTGACGGGGTGCATCGCGCCGCGGTGAGACTGGAACATCCGGACCGCCTCGTCACGATACTTGTCGAAGGTAAACACCTCTCTGGGGAATGAGGGAAAACACCGAGGCTCAGAGAAGCAGGTCAACGTTTAAATAAAGAGTAGAAACGGTTTGTTTAAATACCTGAAGAGCGGGCGGGTGAACTTCATTCGGCCCTGATCCGTCGCCATCTTCATCGCCATGGGAACAGCCTCCTCCCACCGCGAGCGCACGCAGAGACGCAGCCACCTGATTGGACAAAACATTGCAACTCTGAGAAATCATGGTGACTGAGATAAACATCATAACTTTGAGAAAACATGGTGACTCTGAGATAAACATCATAACTTTGAGAAAACATGGTGACTCTGAGATAAACATCATAACTTTGAGAAAACATAGTGACTCTGAGATAAACATCATAACTTTGAGGACGAAGACGAACTACTTTGCGTACAAAGTGATATTCGTGGCGTGGCGTGGTCAGCAGCAGACGGCGACTCTCACCTGAAGCGGATCTCAGCGTTCTTGCTCGCGTTCAGATCGTAAACTTCCTGCATCTTCTTCACGTGAGTCAGAGGCAGCGCCGCCTTCAGGGACAGACAGGAAGTCAATGCAAAGCATGCTGGGAGGTATTTAATGGTATAACGTAATAATACTGAAGCTCAGGTGTGTTACCTCCTGAAGCAGCAGAGACAGGAACTCGATGACCTGATGAGACGACAGCGGCTTCATGTCCGACGCCTTGAAGCTGCTCAGGTCCTGCTCTGCGGCCTGGAGAGGATATTAACAACAATAGTAAACAATAAATACTAATAATAATAATACTAATAATAAAAACAGGTCTCACCTTGATCCACCTCTGGCTCAGGGCGATGCAGGCGTCGGCCAGCGTGGTGTCGTACCTGAGACAGGTGAGGGTTAAAGGGGTTTCAATATGTAAAGAGATATAAAGAGGCTGACGGAGGAGCACTCACTGAGGTTTGACTGGAGGCATCCCCGGGGTGAACATCCAGGCGTGCCAGTCCACCTGGTTCAGGACGTCCACCTGAGACCAGAGAAAAACCCCGATGAGATTCACCTGCTGGACCTGATACAGGTCTGAGGGTACGGTTTTATCTCTAAGAGTAAAGTCCTAACTTACAGAATGACGTGGTAACCAATATTACAGATTTATTTTACAGAAAGAGGTTGTGACTTGGTCCAGGTGAGTCTCACCTTGTCCTTGAAGTAGGTGAACAGGTAGTTCTTCCACTCGTCGGTGGTGGCGCTGCCGTACGCAAACATCTGGATGTACGACTTCACGAAGCCCATGAACACCTCTGGAGAAAGGAACAAACAGACCATGGTGCGTTCAGGTGTCTCACTCTCTGTTATCTATTCAGGTGTTCTCTGTGGTGCATTAAGGTGTTTTCTGTGGTGCGTTCAGGTGTTCTGGCATGTGTTCAGGTGTTCTGTGGTGCATTCAGGTGTTCTGTGGTGCGTTCAGGTGTTCTGTGGTGCGTTCAGGTGTTCTGGCATGTGTTCAGGTGTTCTGTGGTGCATTCAGGTGTTCTGTGGTGCGTTCAGGTGTTCTGGCATGTGTTCAGGTGTTCTGTGGTGCATTCAGGTGTTCTGTGGTGCGTTCAGGTGTTCTGGCATGTGTTCAGGTGTTCTGTGGTGCATTCAGGTGTTCTGTGGTGCGTTCAGGCGCTCTGTGGTGTGTTCAGGTGTTCTCTGCGGTGCGTTCAGGTGTTCTGTGATGTGTTGTGTTCAGGTGATCGTGGTGCGTTCAGGTGTTCTCTGGTGCGTTCAAGTGATCGTGGTGCGTTCAGGTGCTCTGTGGTGCGTTCAGGTGATCGTGGTGGGTTCAGCTGTTACCTGGGCCCCCCAGTAGCTCCTCCAGGTGATACAGCAGAGCGAAGCCCTTCTCGTACGGGACGGAGGAGAAGGCGTCGTCCGGGTCCACGTCCTGAAGACTGGGGACCAGGTTAGTGAGGGGGTTGTTAGCTCCAAAGGTGTTCACCTGAGACAGACAGGTGAGAGACAGACATGTAGAGACAGTTATACAGACAGGTACAGGTGTATACAGGTGTGTACAAGTGTGTCAGGTGTATACAGGTGTGTACAAATGTATACAGGTGTATATAGGTGTGTCAGGTGTGGACAGGTGTATACAGGTGTGGACAGGTGTATACAGGTGTGGACAGGTGTATACAGGTGTGTACAGGTGTGGACAGGTGTATACAGGTGTGGACAGGTGTATACAGGTGTATACAGGTGTATGCAGGTGTATGCAGGTGTATGCAGGTGTATACAGGTGTGTCAGGTGTATACAGGTGTGTACAGGTGTGTACAGGTGTGGACAGGTGTATACAGGTGTGGACAGGTGTATACAGGTGTATACAGGTGTATACAGGTGTGTACAGGTGTGGACAGGTGTATACAGGTGTATACAGGTGTATACAGGTGTGTACAGGTGTATACAGGTGTATACAGGTGTGTACAGGTGTATACAGGTGTGTACAGGTGTATACAGGTGTGTCAGGTGTGTACAGGTGTATACAGGTGTATACAGGTGTGTACAGGTGTATACAGGTGTGTACAGGTGTATACAGGTGTGTACAGGTGTGGACAGGTGTATACAGGTGTATACAGGTGTATGCAGGTGTATGCAGGTGTATGCAGGTGTATACAGGTGTGTCAGGTGTATGCAGGTGTATACAGGTGTATACAGGTGTATACAGGTGTATACAGGTGTGTCAGGTGTATACAGGTGTATACAGGTGTATACAGGTGTGTCAGGTGTGTCAGGTGTATACAGGTGTGTACAGGTGTATACAGGTGTGTCAGGTGTATACAGGTGTATACAGGTGTATACAGGTGTATACAGGTGTGTCAGGTGTATACAGGTGTATACAGGTGTATACAGGTGTGTACAGGTGTATACAGGTGTGTACAGGTGACTGACCGAGTCCTGCAGCTCCTTCCAGCCTCCAGCAGCTTTGAACTGTCTGAAGGGTTCTCCCTCCATCGACCGGCCTATCATCCTCTCCAGGTAGACCGTGTGACCCTCGTTCAGCCTGCAACCAACAGGTGCATCCATCAGTACAGGTGCATAGGTGTGTATGTAAATACTACTGTAAATACATTACTCTAAATAACTATGAATATATATGTATATTACTCTGCACATCCCAGCTTTAAATATATAATGAATGTGTTCATTGTTTGGTTAAATGAAGTCATGTGTTCATCATGTTCACCAGAAGTGTTCCCAGGTCTTGTTGGTCACCAGGTTCCCCGTCCAGCTGTGGGAGATCTCATGAGCAATCACCTGGAGGGACATGAACACATGAACTCATGAACACATGAACACATGAACACATGAACACATGAACACATGAACTCATGAACACATGAACACATGAACACATGAACTCATGAACTCATGAACTCATGAACACATGAACTCATGAACACATGAACTCATGAACACATGAACTCATGAACACATGAACTCATGAACACATGAACTCATGAACACATGAACTCATGAACACATGAACTCATGAACACATGAACTCATGAACTCATGAACACATGAACTCATGAACACATGAACACATGAACTCATGAACACATGAACTCATGAACACATGAACTCATGAACACATGAACTCATGAACACATGAACTCATGAACACATGAACTCATGAACACATGAACTCATGAACACATGAACTCATGAACACATGAACACATGAACTCATGAACACATGAACACATGAACTCATGAACTCATGAACACATGAACACATGAACACATGAACTCATGAACACATGAACACATGAACTCATGAACTCATGAACACATGAACACATGAACACATGAACTCATGAACTCATGAACACATGAACTCATGAACTCATGAACTCATGAACACATGAACTCATGAACACATGAACTCATGAACACATGAACTCATGAACACATGAACTCATGAACACATGAACTCATGAACACATGAACTCATGAACACATGAACACATGAACTCATGAACTCATGAACTCATGAACACATGAACTCATGAACTCATGAACTCATGAACACATGAACTCATGAACACATGAACACATGAACTCATGAACACATGAACACATGAACACATGAACACATGAACTCATGAACACATGAACTCATGAACACATGAACTCATGAACACATGAACTACATGAACACAATGAACTCATGAACACATGAACATCATGAACACATGAACTACATGAACACATGAACATCATGAACTCATGAACTCATGAACACATGAACTCATGAACACATGAACACATGAACACATGAACTCATGAACACATGAACTCATGAACTCATGAACTCATGAACACATGAACTCATGAACACATGAACTCATGAACTCATGAACTCATGAACACATGAACACATGAACTCATGAACACATGAACTCATGAACACATGAACACATGAACTCATGAACACATGAACACATGAACTCATGAACACATGAACTCATGAACACATGAACTCATGAACACATGAACACATGAACTCATGAACACATGAACACATGAACTCATGAACACATGAACTCATGAACACATGAACTCATGAACACATGAACACATGAACACATGAACTCATGAACACATGAACTCATGAACTCATGAACTCATGAACACATGAACTCATGAACACATGAACTCATGAACTCATGAACACATGAACTCATGAACTCATGAACACATGAACACATGAACTCATGAACACATGAACTCATGAACACATGAACACATGAACTCATGAACTCATGAACACATGAACTCATGAACACATGAACTCATGAACACATGAACACATGAACTCATGAACACATGAACTCATGAACACATGAACTCATGAACACATGAACACATGAACACATGAACTCATATGACTGTGTGAACATGTATGACTGTGTAAACATGTATGACTGTGTGTACATGTATGACTGTGTGAACATGTATGACTGTGTAAACATGTATGACTGTGTGAACATGTATGACTGTGTAAACATGTATGACTGTGTGTACATGTATGACTGTGTGTACATGTATGACTGTGTGTACATGTATGACTGTGAACATGTATGACTGTGTGAACATGTATGACTGTGTGAACATGTATGCCTGTGTGAACATGTATGACTGTGTGAACATGTATGACTGTGTGTACATGTATGACTGTGTGAACATGTATGACTGTGTGTACATGTATGACTGTGTGAACATGTATGACTGTGTGTACATGTATGACTGTGAACATGTATGACTGTGTACATGTATGACTGTGTGTACATGTATGACTGTGTGTACATGTATGACTGTGTGAACATGTATGACTGTGTGTACATGTATGACTGTGTGTACATGTATGACTGTGTGTACATGTATGACTGTGTGAACATGTATGACTGTGTGAACATGTATGACTGTGTGTACATGTATGACTGTGTGAACATGTATGACTGTGTGTACATGTATGACTGTGAACATGTATGACTGTGTGTACATGTATGAACACATGCACATGTATGACTGTGTGAACATGTATGACTGTGTGTACATGTATGACTGTGTGAACATGTATGACTGTGTGTACATGTATGACTGTGTGAACATGTATGACTGTGTGAACATGTATGACTGTGTGAACATGTATGACTGTGTGTACATGTATGACTGTGAACATGTATGACTGTGTGAACATGTATGAACACATGCACATGTATGACTGTGTGAACATGTATGACTGTGTGTACATGTATGACTGTGTGTACATGTATGACTGTGTGAACATGTATGACTGTGTGTACATGTATGACTGTGTGAACATGTATGACTGTGTGAACATGTATGACTGTGTGAACATGTATGAACACATGAACATGTATGACTGTGTGTACATGTATGACTGTGTGAACATGTATGACTGTGTGTACATGTATGACTGTGTGAACATGTATGACTGTGTGAACATGTATGACTGTGTGTACATGTATGACTGTGTGAACATGTATGACTGTGTGAACATGTATGAACACATGAACATGTATGACTGTGTGTACATGTATGAACACATGAACATGTATGACTGTGTGTACATGTATGACTGTGTGAACATGTATGACTGTGTGAACATGTATGACTGTGTGAACATGTATGACTGTGTGTACATGTATGACTGTGTGTACATGTATGACTGTGTGAACATGTATGACTGTGTGTACATGTATGACTGTGTGAACATGTATGACTGTGTGAACATGTATGACTGTGTGAACATGTATGACTGTGTGAACATGTATGATTGTGTTGTATACTCACGTTGGACAGAGACTTGTCTCCCGCCTGTAGAGAGAGATCGGCTGATCAGTCACATGGTAATAAAACATACACCTGTGGGGTGTATATATATATATATATATATATATATATACACACACACATGTATATATATATATATATATACATGTATATACATGACAGCCCTAATATATATATATATATATATATATATATATATATATATATTAGGGCTGTCAGTCGATTAAAATATTGAATCGCATAGTTAATCACGATTAATCGCAAATTAATCGCACATCTTTTATCTGTTCTAAATGTACCTTAGAGGAATATCTTTTCAAGTCTTTAATACTCTTATCAACATGTGGACAAATATGCTTTATGCAAATGTTTTGCTTTGGGCTCTGAAACTACGGGGCGGGCCGAGGACAAATACACATGCGTTAATCGCACGTTCAAATAATTAGCGTTACATTTTTTTTGCGTTAACGCGTTAACTTGACAGCCCTAATATATATACATGTATATATATATAAATATATATAGTGTGTATAGTGTGTATACCAGCAGGGTGGGGGTGGCGAAAGTGAGGCAGGGGTTCTCCATTCCTCCGTAGGGGAACGATGGAGGCAGAACCAGGATGTCGTACGGACCCCAAACATACGGCCCGGCGAGAGCCTCGGCCGCCTGCAGCATGGCCTCCGTCTGGGGGGGGGGGGGGTAGAGAGGGGGGGGGGGGGTAATGAGAGAGGAGAGGTGTGAGAGGGGGGGGTAGAGAGGGGGGGGGGTAATGAGAGAGGGGGGGTTATATTTATATATAACTGTTAACCACAGACTGTCTTCACTACACCATGACCTTTTCTTTTACCTCAGAAAACTCGAACGCTGCTTTATCCACGTACTCTTTCTCAGACCAGACTCTGGAGCGCGGGCCGATCTCCCTGTCAGCCAATCAGAGGGCAGAACACTGTTTACCTGCTGATGTTACTATAAACAATATGAACTGTATCACTGTACAGGTGAGAGAGTACCTGTACAGGTGAGAGAGTACCTGTACAGGTGAGAGAGTACCTGTACAGGTGAGAGAGTACAGGTGAGAGAGTACAGGTGAGAGAGTACCTGTACAGGTGAGAGAGTACCTGTACAGGTAAGAGAGTACAGGTGAGAGAGTACAGGTGAGAGAGTACCTGTACAGGTGAGAGAGTACCTGTACAGGTGAGAGAGTACCTGTACAGGTGAGAGAGTACCTGTACAGGTGAGAGAGTACAGGTGAGAGAGTACAGGTGAGAGAGTACCTGTACAGGTGAGAGAGTACAGGTGAGAGAGTACCTGCTCTCCAGGGCTCCGACCACGATGGCGATCAGGTAGGAGGGCATGGGCACCTGAGGACATTATTATTATTATCAAAGCTCAGTGAGGGGGAGTAAACAAAGAGGAGAGGGCAGGTAAACAAAGAGGGGGGGGGCAGGTAAACAAAGAGGGGGGGCAGGTAAACAAAGAGGGGGGGCAGGTAAACAAAGAGGAGAGGGCAGGTAAACAAAGAGGGGGGGGCAGGTAAACAAAGAGGGGGGGCAGGTAAACAAAGAGGGGGGGCAGGTAAACAAAGAGGAGAGGGCAGGTAAACAAAGAGGGGGGGGGCAGGTAAAACAAAGAGGGGGGGCAGGTAAACAAAGAGGGGGGGCAGGTAAACAAAGAGGGGGGGCAGGTAAACAAAGAGGAGAGGGCAGGTAAACAAGAGGGGGGGGCAGGTAAATAAGAGGGGGGGGGCAGGTAAACAAAGAGGAGAGGGCAGGTAAACAAAGAGGGGGGGGCAGGTAAACAAAGAGGAGAGGGCAGGTAAACAAGAGGGGGGGGCAGGTAAACAAGAGGGGGGGGGCAGGTAAACAAAGAGGAGAGGGCAGGTAAACAAAGAGGGGGGGGGGGGCAGGTAAACAAAGAGGGGGGGGGCAGGTAAACAAAGAGGAGAGGGCAGGTAAACAAAGAGGGGGGGGGGGGCAGGTAAACAAAGAGGGGGGGGGGCAGGTAAACAAAGAGGAGAGGGTAGGTAAACAAGAGGGGGGGGCAGGAAAACAAGAGGGGGGGCAGGTAAACAAAGAGGAGAGGGCAGGTAAACAAAGAGGAGAGGGCAGGTAAACAAAGAGGGGGGGCAGGTAAACAAGAGGGGGGGCAGGTAAACAAAGAGGAGAGGGCAGGTAAACAAGAGGGGGGGCAGGTAAACAAGAGGGGGGGCAGGTAAACAAGAGGGGGGGCAGGTAAACAAAGAGGAGAGGGCAGGTAAACAAAGAGGAGAGGGCAGGTAAACAAGAGGGGGGGGCAGGTAAACAAGAGGGGGGGCAGGTAAACAAAGAGGAGAGGGCAGGTAAACAAGAGGGGGGGGCAGGTAAACAAGAGGGGGGGCAGGTAAACAAAAAGGAGAAGGACAGCTGCTGACCGGCTGCCTGAACTTGTAGATGATTCGCTCGTTATCCTGAGGGTCCACTTCCTGTCCGTCTCTCACCGCACTCATCACTGCAACCAGGTCCTTAGGGACAGACACCTGAGAGACAAGACACAGGGCACACTGAGACACCTGAGAGACAAGACACAGGGCACACTGAGACACCTGAGAGACAAGACACAGGGCACACTGAGACACCTGAGAGACAAGACACAGGGCACACTGAGACACCTGAGAGACAAGACACAGGGCACACAGTGTGTTACCTGAGCATAGTAGGTGTGTGTGTGTGTGTGTGTGTGTGTGTGTGTGTGTGTGTGTGTGTGTGTGTGTGTATGTGTGTGTGTGTGTGTGTGTGTGTGTGTTACCTGAGCGTAGTAGGTGTGTGTGTGTGTGTGTGTGTGTGTGTGTGTGTGTGTGTGTGTGTGTGTGTGTGTGTGTGTGTGTGTGTGTGTGTGTGTGTGTTACCTGAGCGTAGTAGGTGTGCTTGACAGACGGAGTGTCCTGGCAGGGCACCATGCTCCTGCAGTGATGAGCCTGAAAGACAGAACCCAGGGATCAAATGTCTCTTTGTTTCTCTTTGTTTATGAAAGTCATTGTTAAATAAAGCAGAAGAAAGAAGAGGAAGTGTTTCTTCATGTCAACAGGAAGTGTTGAGACTTTAGAAAGAAGAGCCGTTTGATGGACAAAGAGTTTCTAACCACAGAGTGCAAAACACCAGAAGAAGAGACGCACTTTAACGAGGCATTCAATTAACTCATCATCATATATGATATTCACCTGGCACTGGCTGAACAGGTAGGGCTTTTCCTTCCCGGCCGTCTGCTCAGGTGAGAGCCACTGCAGCGCGGTTGCCGTCGGCGACGTCTCATAGGTCACCTCCACGATCACATGCTGCCCTCTGATTGGTCGACACAAACACCTTAGCTTTGTTTTACTTTGAAAGGAGTCTAACAGGAAGTGGACTGACTCACCTGGAGAGGTCGAAGGGCAAGGTGATCTCCAGTGGGGCTCCTTTAAAGGTGTGTTTAGGGCCTGTCGTAAAGCGCGCCGCCTGCCCGTTGGCTTTCACCGAGAACACCTGCAGGTCCCTGCAGTCCAGAGTCTGAACGCAATAAACAATAAACAACAATAAACATAAATAATAAACTATATATAAACAATAATAATAAGTAATTATTATTATTGTTGTTTATTATACAAATATAAACAAGGATAATAATAAATAGAACACGTTTTGATTAACGAGGCTCTGAGTCAGTCCCTGAACGCCTCACCTGTCCCTGAACGCCTCACCTGTCCCTGAACGCCTCACCTGTCCCTTAACGCCTCACCTGTCCCTGAACGCCTCACCTGTCCCTGAACGCCTCACCTGTCCCTGAACGCCTCACCTGTCCCTTAACGCCTCACCTGCTGACAGTCAGCAGACAAAGTCCAACACAACCTCACACGTCTCACTAAACTACACACACCTGATCTGTGTACACACACACACACACACACACACACACACACACACACACACACACACACACACACACACACACACACACACACACACACACACACACACACACACACACACACACACACACACACACACACACACACACACACACACACACACACACACAGATGAATGAATAGCAGTTTATTGGGGCGTGCACATGTTCGCCACGAAGGTGTCCAGAGGGTGCAAAGTGCATCACGAGAGTAAACAAAACATGCACGAGTAAACGACAATGGATTTCAAACATATGACTCAAAAGAAGACTTCTTACAAAATGCCATGCAAAAAGCTGTAACCCGCTGAAATGATCAAGAGGAGATACCCCTGGTTAGGGTTACGTGGGTTAGGGTTACGTGGGTTAGGGTTACGTGGGTTAGGGTTACGTGGGTTAGGGTTACGTGGGTTAGGGTTACGTGAGTTAGGGTTACGTGGGTTAGGGTTACGTGGGTTAGGGGTTACGTGAGTTAGGGTTACGTGGGTTAGGGTTACGTGAGTTAGGGTTACGTGGGTTAGGGTTACGTGGGTTAGGGTTACGTGGGTTAGGGTTACGTGAGTTAGGGTTACGTGGGTTAGGGTTACGTGGGTTAGGGTTACGTGAGTTAGGGTTACGTGGGTTAGGGTTACGTGGGTTACGTGGGTTAGGGTTACGTGGGTTAGGGTTACGTGGGTTGGCTTGGTGACGTGCAACAACATGACCCTTTCTGTTGGTCGCGTGTTAGCAGACCCTTCCCCCCATGGCAGAGCGAACAGGGCCCGTAGTGACAGCCCTATAGTTTCCATCTACTACCCACACATACACATGGGTTACTATTTAAAACAAATGGTAAATGTATTTAGGAACCTATCCATGTGATTTGAAGTGGGGGTGGACCTCAAATCCTCTAGGGGGGTCCGGGGGCATGCATCAATCTGGTGCACTTTGAAGGGAAATAAAGAGACTAGATCTATGGGAACACCCATATGAAACAGAACTGTACACATTTCAATAATCATAAAGTGTATCTTAGCTTTTTTCACCTAGTTAACTTTTTTATTTTGTATTCATGCATATTTTACTAATCACTCCCCCCCCCTCAAATGGAAATATGTGTTTACATAAATGGTGACTAAACCGTTTGAGACCCACTGAGAACTTAGACGAAGTTAACTCTCTAAACACTCAGTCCTTAACCTCACCTGAGCTGAGGTTACCTCACCTGAGCTGAGGTTACCTCACCTGAGCTGAGGTTACCTCACCTGAGCTGAGGTTACCTCACCTGAGCTGAGGTTACCTCACCTGAGCTGAGGTTACCTCACCTGAGCTGAGGTTACCTCACCTGAGCTGAGGTTACCCCGAGCTTGAGTGACACGCAGAGACCAATCGAGGGCTTTGATGTATGATCTGTGTGACAGTGGCCATGTGGGCAGACCACATCATGCAGACAGCCCCAGTTCCAGTCCGGGACTGAGTACAGGAGGCGTAGAGCGAGGGATCATTGTCCACAAGTTAATCAATCGCAGATGGCGTCGTGATCGCGGACGAAAAAAAAAAAAAGATTATTATAAAAAATAAATTTAAAAAAACCTAAATGGGTCGCGAAATATACTTGGGCAGCCCGCCCAAGTATATTCTATGTGTGGGAAACCCTGCCCTGTGTTAAAGGGCAAGAGGAGATACCTATTGAGAGTGGGACAATCCCGTATCTCAGCTGGGAGGCTGTTCCACAACGAGCTGCAGAGAGGACATCCAGTCCATGTAAACATTTATAAATAAAACACATACTTCTAAAAGACTTCAAATGGTCAAAACTCAAGAACTGGTGTTTCTCCAGGATGGAGCAGTGGTGGTATGAATAAGGCTTTCTGTCAAACACCTTGATAGCTCTCTCTCTCAGCTGTTCTATGGGTTTCAGGTTTGAGGCACAAGCAAACGACCAGTTTGTGAAACAGTATTCAATGTGAGATAGAATCATGCAGAGGAGGTATGACTTTGCAGCACTGCCAGTTAAGAAAGGTCTGATTTGTTTAAAAGGTTGCAAGTTGAATTTAACGGTATTTGATACATTCTTGATATGTTTCTTAAAAGTGAAGTTTGAGTCCAGTATGACTCCAAGACACTTGAAGTGGGGGACTAGTTCTAATTCTGCTCCGTTTAAAAACACGTTGGATTCTTCCATTTTGACTGGTCGTTTACTGAACATCATGCAGACTGTTCTTTTTTACATTTAACTGTAAGCACATGTTGTTCAGCCGGTGGTGAACCTTGTCCAAAGCATTTGAGAGACAGGATGAGATTATTTCAGTGTGTTTCCCGTGTTCAAAGATGACAGCATCATCGGCATACATTTACACATTCAACTCAGGACATACATTAGGCAAGTCATTTGGTCTCTGACAGGTGAGACAGGTGTTTCTCTGACAGGTGAGACAGGTGTTTCTCTGACAGGTGAGACAGGTGTTTCTCTGACAGGTGAGACAGGTGTTTCTCTGACAGGTGAGACAGGTGTTTCTCTGACAGGTGAGACAGGTGTTTTCTCTGACAGGTGAGACAGGTGTCTCTCTGACAGCTCAGCAGTAATAAAGGTAAAGTCCAAACAGCCATAAATGAATGAAAGTTACTGTAACTCAGAAACACAGAGATGTAACACTAAGAGCATTAAATATATCATATTAAATATGTTAAATATATTATATGTAATATTAAATATTAAGAGACCAGACTTCCTTATTTTAAATGTTAAATGATCAGTTCCTTTATTCTCCACCGAGGAGAGATTATTATTAAATAAAGAGACCTTAGTGTTTCATATTAATATATAGAATAATATAAACTAATATTTAATAATAATAGTTAAACGTTAGTATTAAGAAGCATTTAATATTTTTCATATTAAATATAATATGTAAAATATTTAATATTTTTCCTTTCAGTTCGGTCAGATCTGGCGCCCCCTTCAGGGCCCTCTCCTCACGGTAGGAAATATCAGCTCTGACTGAATGCTCCGGTTAGCTTCAGTGCTAACTTCGGGTCCGGTACCGGAAACATACCAGCGCGTGCAGCCGGTCCTGCAGAGCCTCCATGGTGAGCGCGATGACCCCTTTGATCACATGGCGGGAGAAATCCACGTGCAGCGCGAGGTTCAGGTGCCGGGTGAGAAAGTGGGAAACGGAGGAGAAGGAGCACGGGTCCGACATGCTGACTGGTGAGAGACTGGAGACACACTGAGAGACACAGGACACACACCCCGACACACACACTTCCGGCCGAGCGCTTTCACAATAAAGGAGGGGCTACACCCACTCATGCTTTTATTTAGAAATATGATTAGACATCATTTCAATATATTATTTTAAAAAATAGGAAGAATTTATTTTGAAAGGCTTTCTTTTGGTAGATTTTTCAAATAATTTTTAATTAGGTCATTTATTTTAATTATCTGTGGAGATTTTTGTATTTTAAGAGATCATTATTCTTATTCTCCTTATTCTAAATAAATAATGACTAAAAAAAGATTCAGCAGAAAATCACAAGAATCTTTATTTTATAAGTTAAACAACAGAAACATCAAACTCATCACATGACCGTCCTCCACTTCCTGGAAACACACACACACACGACGTTTATATGACATAAAGAGGAAACACAGCACAGGGCGTGGTGCATTCAATGTTTTTATATTAATAGGAGGAGACGCATATACACTATACTCCACTGTACAGAGGTCACAGGTGGTGGGGCGTTTGAGGTCTATATTAATAAAGAGGAAACACAGCACTGTACAGAGGGGTCTACAGGTGGTGGTGCGTTCAGGGCCCCTGGTCAGCGGTGCGTTCAGGGCCCCTGGTTAGCGGAAGTCCTCGGCGCAGAACATGCCCCTGGCGCGCCTCAGGATGGAGTCTTTGCTGGCGTCGTACGGATGTTCTTTTGAAGGAATCTCCAACACGGCAGGGATGGACTCAAGATGGCCGTCGATGGCGTGGCGGATCATCTCGGCGATGAACTGGTTGATCAGAACGATGCCGATATCGCTCCTGGCCAGGAAGCTCCTGAGGGGGGGGGGGGGGGGGGGGGGGGGGGGGGGGGGGGCACAGTGGGGGGGGTATAGTCAGTGTTAGTACAGTTTAGAGAGGCCTCTCAGATACACTGGGACATCAGTTACTATCCAGATCCAAGCTTAATTACCTCTCTAACACACTTTGGTGCTAATGAGGGTCTGTTTATTTAAGGGTTTATTAAGGGTTTATTTAAGGGTTTGTTTAAGGATTACTCACTTGGAGGTCTCCTCTATCTCCGCGAGTCTCTGGTTTATTTAAGGGTTTATTAAGGGTTTATTTAAGGGTTTACTCACTTGAAGGTCTTCTATCTCCGCCACGCTCGGGCTAAATCTCTCTAAAAAGGTCAAATGTCACTTGTTTTGCATCAATCTTGATACAGGGTACTTATTATATGTTGTACTTTGGATTCCTAAAGCTTTTAGTCTACTAACCCATCATCCAAGGGTAGTTTTCACTAAGTAAACAATCATTTTTGGACGGACACTATAATTTACAGTTTTTTACGATGTAAAATCTGAATTTTCTTTAAAATAAAAAACATCTATATTGATTCTGACTCTTCTACATCCAACTCACAGGTTTATCATTACTTTGAGAAAAAAGATTATTAATTTAACCCTTTTAGAAGAAGGGAAGATATGGTCATTTGTTCTGGGAATGGCATTTTTGAGCCTGAGACCTGAAAAACAGGCTCAGGGCTGAACAGGTTAAAGCTCAATAAATAACAAAGAAGACCTTTGACCGGCACTTTTCTAATTTTGTCCGGAAGATTTAAACTTTAACGGACATCTTGACCGGGGAAAGAAACTGAAACTGAAACTCTGCCGCACGGTCCCCTCGTTCCTTGGAAGAGGCGGAGAGGTGGGTGTTTGTCATCTGCTGGTGGACTAACCGGAGAGAATTACAGTGCTTGCCTCGACGGGGAGGGATTGCATTGAATTAAAGCAGCAGGAGCAAACGCTTGCCTCGGGGAGGGAGAAAAAAAGCCACAGCGGAGAATAAACAGAAGGGTAACCATGGTAACTATGGGCGGGAAGTCTTCTTCGCTGCTTTTGTGGCAGACTACAGCGCCACTTACAGGCCTGGCATATGTACTACAGCGTCTCCAGCGCTTTCGAGCGGCAATGGCCGGCCGTGGCCCAACCCCACATTCCCCTGATAGGTGGAGAGTTGGCCCAATAGCCGTAGCGCCACCGTCCTGACGTCAGGACAGTGTTCAAATCTGGATCAGTTTTTATCAGATCCGTTGCAGCCCCTTTTTTAGAGATTTGGGTATGGAGGCAAATAGAGAGGGTTGTGTTTTTCTGACACTTGGTGAGTTCCCTGGAACACCGGGGACACATATTCATGTAGAAAAGACGTACACAAGTGCATTTTGCATGATAGGTCCCGTTTGGGTATAAACCGTTATATTAACGGTCTATTTAAGGGTTTGTTTAAGGGTTTGTTTAAGGATTACTCACTTGGAGGTCTCTATCTCCGTGACTCTCTGGTTTATTAAGGATTTTAGGGTATAAACGGTTATATTAACGGTCTACTTAAGGGTTTATTAAGGGTTTATTTAAGGGTATAAATGGTTATATTAACGGTCTATTTAAGGGTTTATTTAAGGGTTTGTTTAAGGGTTTGTTTAAGGGTTTGTTTAAGGGTTTGTTTAAGGATTACTCACTTGGAGGTCTCCTCTATCTCCGCGAGTCTCTGGTTTATTAAAGGGTTTATTAAGGGTTTATTTAAGGGTATAAACCGTTATATTAACGGTCTATTTAAGGGTTTATTTAAGGGTTTATTAAAGGATTACTCACTTGAAGGTCTCTTCTATCTCCGCGACGCTAGTCTCCTTCTCGACCACCAGGAAGTTGGGCTTCCGGTTCTTATTGAGCTCGCCCACCCCCCCCAGCAGGAACCCGGTGCACGTGTCCTCATCCCCGATCACCGCAATCAGTTTACCGCGCGCAGACATCTCTAAAGGTGTTCAGAACGAGAGAGACAGAGAAAAACACCTGAGAATCAGCTGCTTCTTCACAGAGTCACGTGAGGTCAGCTGATCAACACTTCCGCTTCCGGCTGCTTCCGTCACTGAAAAACATTAAGACATAAATAAAATAGATAAATAATAATAAAACAGTTAACCAGCTGTGGTGCTTTAACCAATTAAACAAGTGTTGAGTGTCAAACTAATACAAAGGAAAACTCGTGAAATAAAATCCGGATAAAATAAAACATCTTCCTGTTCAGACCGCACAGTTCAGGTGCACATCGTTCATCTCAGCTTCAACTCTTACTTAGTCACGAAAATAAACGTTTTCATTTGTTTTTAATAACTGTGTATATATGTTGTTGTAACGCGAAGTGCTTCTTAGATACTAGAACTCAGACAGCCCCCCCATTACAGTCCTCAATACTACAGATCACACTGCGCATGCTCAAACACAGTTAAACTCTGTGTCTTGTATTCTCCGACAGCATCTGAAAGCCTCAAGAGTCACGTGAACATCACGTGAGATACAGAAATGCAGCTAGCTCCGTTTCTTAAACAACAACAATAATGGTGAGTTTTTAATGTGTCTGTTTTTATCATGATTTATACTTTTAATGAGCTCTCAGTAAAACGTTTGTGGAACTACTGCTACAGTTAGCATTAGCCTGTTAGCTCTGATCCTCTGTGTTCACAGACAGTAGGTGTATAGCATTAGCTCTGATCATTAGCCTGTTAGCTCTGATCATTAGCCTGTTAGCTCTGGTCATTAGCCTGTTAGCTCCTGTCATTAGCCCGTTAGCTCCTGTCATTAGCCTGTTAGCTCATGTCATTAGCCTGTTAGCTCCTGTCATTAGCCTGTTAGCTCATGTCATTAGCCTGTTAGCTCCTGTCATTAGCCTGTTAGCTCCTGTCAGCTCTGGTCTCTGTTCCCAGACGGCCTCTCTGACTGCAGGTCTGGACAGGATCCAGGATCAGATCGGCTACCTGGTGATCAGCGAGGAGGGGGTGCTGGCCGTGAGTCACACACACTACACTAACACCACTTATTATAAACACCACAAAACTACCAAACTAACTCCAGTCAGCTTCCTGTCTTCTTCTTCTCTGGTTTTGTAGTTCTGGTCTTATAATGTAGTTCCAGAATTACATCAATCATGATTTAAATAAAAGTGTGTGTTGAGGTGTGTGTGTGTTGAGGTGTGTTGTGGATAGTAACGTGTGTGTGTTGTGGATAGTAACGTGTGTGTTGTGGATAGTAACGTGTGTGTGTTGTGGATAGTAACGTGTGTGTGTGCAGGTGTGTGTTGTGGATAGTAATGGTGTGTGTGTGTGTGCGCAGGTGTGTGTTGTGGATAGTAACGGTGTGTGTGCAGGTGTGTGTTGTGGATAGTAACGGTGTGTGTGTGTGGTGCAGGTGTGTGTTGTGGATAGTAACGTGTGTGTGTGCAGGGTGTGTGTTGTGGATAGTAACGGTGTGTGTTGTGGATAGTAACGGTGTGTGTTGTGGATAGTAACGGTGTGTGTGCAGGTGTGTGTTGTGGATAGTAACGTGCAGGTGTGTGTTGTGGATAGTAACGGTGTGTGTTGTGGATAGTAACGGTGTGTGTGTGTGTGTGTGCAGGTGTGTGTTGTGGATAGTAACGGTGTGTGTTGTGGATAGTAACGGTGTGTGTGCAGGTGTGTGTTGTGGATAGTAACGTGCAGGTGTGTGTTGTGGATAGTAACGGTGTGTGTTGTGGATAGTAACGGTGTGTGTGTGTGTGTGTGCAGGTGTGTGTTGTGGATAGTAACGGTGTGTGTGTGCAGGTGTGTTGTGGATAGTAACGGTGTGTGTGTGCAGGTGTGTGTTGTGGATAGTAACGGTGTGTGTGTGCAGGTGTGTGTTGTGGATAGTAACGGTGTGTGTGTGCAGGTGTGTGTTGTGGATAGTAACGGTGTGTGTGTGCAGGTGTGTGTTGTGGATAGTAACGGTGTGTGTGTGCAGGTGTGTTGTGGATAGTAACGGCAGGTGTGTGTTGTGGATAGTAACGGTGTGTGTTGTGGATAGTAACGGTGTGTGTGCAGGTGTTTGTTGTGGATAGTAACGGTGTGTGTGCAGGTGTGTGTTGTGGATAGTAACGGTGTGTGTGCAGGTGTGTGTTGTGGATAGTAACGGTGTGTGTTGTGGATAGTAACGGTGTGTGTTGTGGATAGTAACGGTGTGTGTGCAGGTGTGTGTTGTGGATAGTAACGGTGTGTGTGTGCAGGTGTGTGTTGTGGATAGTAAAGGTGTGTGTGTGTGTGCAGGTGTGTGTTGTGGATAGTAACAGTGTGTGTGTGTGTGTGTGCAGGTGTGTGTTGTGGATAGTAACGGTGTGTGTGTGTGCAGGTGTGTGTTGTGGATAGTAACGTGCAGGTGTGTGTTGTGGATAGTAACGGTGTGTGTGTTGTGGATAGTAACGTGTGTGGTGCAGGTGTGTGTTGTGGATAGTAACGGTGTGTGTGCAGGTGTGTGTTGTGGATAGTAACGGTGTGTGTTGTGGATAGTAACGGTGTGTGTGCAGGTGTTTGTTGTGGATAGTAACGGTGTGTGTGCAGGTGTGTGTTGTGGATAGTAACGGTGTGTGTTGTGGATAGTAACGGTGTGTGTTGTGGATAGTAACGGTGTGTGTTGTGGATAGTAACGGTGTGTGTGTGCAGGTGTGTGTTGTGGATAGTAACGGTGTGTGTGTGTGTGCAGGTGTGTGTTGTGGATAGTAAAGGTGTGTGTGTGTGTGCAGGTGTGTGTTGTGTATAGTAACAGTGTGTGTGTGTGTGTGTGCAGGTGTGTGTTGTGGATAGTAACGGTGTGTTGTGGTGTGCAGGTGTGTGTGTTGATAGTAACGGTGTGTGCAGGTGTGTGTTGTGGATAGTAACGGTGTGTGGTTGTGG